TCATTCTCAATTTTAAATCTTGCCGTTATCCCTATATTTTACATGCCTAATCGTAAAGCAAATTCTTAAGAAAATAGGACACTGTCTGCATGAATGAAACGTAGGTATTTTTCTATCTGATTTTCATTCGGTCCCGTGAAGCTTTGAGAATAGCGAGTCACGCCGAACGGCTACCGTTGAATCATCAATCTTTTGGGTATCTATACAGCCACTATATAGTTTTTATTAAAAACAAAAAAACAATCATAATACTTGAAACTAAATTTATAATATAATTGTCACATATTTTTCACCACAACTTCCCTTCATACACTTTCTGTTTTTACCCAATGGTTAGCTGGTAGAGAATGCCATATGGCATTAAGCTCGTCATTTGTACAAAATTTTATTGTGCAATAAAGAATAAATAAATAAATAAATAAAATAAAGCAATACTAGTTTTGACCGGGATATATTTACTGACCGGGATAAAATAAAACTAAAAAAGTCTTTCTAAAAATAAGCTTTTATTTAAATGCGCTTAGAAGAATAAAAATAAAATTTTAAAAATTTATTATGAACTTATAACGTAATTATACAATTTATATGATATAAATGATTGACAGTCCATGAGTACAAGTTTTACAAAAGATATGACACGTAATCCAACCTTTAAAATGGATATTTTGTAAATTTTATTAAAAATTTGCTTCAATTAATATATACACAATATCATAGGTCCTGTAAATTTCGTTTTATTACAATATTTCTTTGTTTTATATGTTTTTCATTTTTTTTATTGTCAATTTATATTTTAATTTCCCTTTTTATAAGATGCTATTGTTAAAATTATACATTCGTGATTACCCCGTACATTAAATATACAAAGACGACGAATTGTTATTAGATCATATTTACATATATATGTTAGCATTAATGTCAATGAAACTTTTAATTTATAGACATTTTAGTCCGTAAACTTTATAATTATATTGTACATAGAAATAAAAATACAACTACAATTTATTTTTCATTAAAAAGTTACGTGGAAAACACCCAAAAAATTTAAATATTCATATCTAGATTTTCGTGACTCCCCGTATAGCGTTAGATGTGCCATAGTTTTTAAAATGAGGGTAAATGCAAAACTCTAACCACGTTCTAACACAATAAAACCACTGTGTCCAAAATTACGTACCATTAATGTTTTTCTACTTTCCCTTATTTCCGAGTTGGTATCATATTAACTTTGTCGTAATCTGAAAACACCGGGGGGAGAAAGGATTGTTAGTAATGGGAATTAGTAACCCCATTGCTAACAATAAACCCTACCAGGTTGACCTCCTCGCGGTTGTCCCCGGAAACCATCTTAAATGATTTGGTATTGAATTTGTCACGATAGTCTGACTGACCTGTTTCCCCCTTACCTATCACCTCTCACTGGTGCCCCACCAGTGTATACCGATAGCACAGGCGGGGTAACATTCCATTATCATCCAATAAGAAAAAAAATCTGAAAAGACTTTAACAATATATACTTTTTACTCCTTTGTTGATCCTATATTACTTTTATCGCTCTTTCACATAAAAAAAAATAACCAACTGAAGTTGAATTTTAGTGGAACCAAATCTAACTATCTCTTTTTCAATCGTCTTAAATTAAATGAAGTTTAAATCCTCACTGGTTAGTTGATTACAATTATTTAGTTTAATTCCGCTACCGTTAATATATGTGCGACAACCAATATTTAAAGATTGACTGCTAGTATTTTTTGTAGGAGTCCTACGACCTTCCCTATTAACCTAACCGTTCGACGCCCAGACAGTCGCAGTCTAGGCGCCAACCGCCAACACTAGGCTGTAATCAGTTATTTATTAATTGCCTAATGATACCCCATTTAAAGGTAAAACACATATGGCAACATATGCTTATATTAAACGACAGTTGGAGATTGACAACTCATAGGAAAGGTCGTATAATCTTTCCTAATAATAATAGTAATCTTCAAATGTAGGCAGTTCACGACTCTGGAACGCGCTTCCTGATGCCATTGAGAGACTACCGACTAAACCGTCTTTAAAAAAAAAACGTTCACGCTCACTTTTTTATTTTATCCGAGCAGTAAGTACTTTATATTATTCTCAATTTCATGTATAATATAGTATATGTCATATATGTGTAAGTATATTTGTTATTTATATATATTTATTCATTTTTATATGTAATTTTAGTATGTATGTATATCAATAATTAATAGTGCCGCATTCGAGTATTCTGACACTTCCCTATGGTTGACTGGGAGAGAATGCTTTTCGCATTAAGTCTGGCATGTACACATATTTGTACTAATGAATAAATAAATACTAATGACTGTGGATTAAACAAAATAACTCTAATCAACTAATCAGTGATATAACCAATGCGTGTTGCCAGTGATGACTTATGGAACCGAAACATGGTCCTGTACGATTGCCCGTATACAAAAGCTACAAGTTACTCAGCAGGCTATGGAGAGGGCTACGCTCGGAGTCTCTTTGCGTGATAGAATCCGAAACGAGGATATCCGTAAAGGAACCAATGTCACCGACATAGCCCGAGGGATGAGTAAGCTAAAATGGCAATGAGCTGGTCTCATAGTTCGAAGAACGATAACCGTTGGGTAAGAAAGGTTCTTGAGCAGCGACCCCGTACGAGTAAACGCAGTGTAGGAAAACCCCTAATTAGATGGAGTGACGACCTGAAATGCATTGCAGGAAATCAGTGAAAGCAGGTGGCTCAGGACTGTTTTTATGACAATCTATGGAGGAGGCTTATGTCTAGCAGAGGTCGAATAATGATTAAAATGACGATCATCTTGAATCAGTGATATAGACTTCCATAAAATAACACAGAATTCAGTATAAGATATAGTACAGTAACAGATCCCCACTGTTCAGTCGAAAATATGAGTATTCGATGAGGAATCGAAATTATAATAAATAAAATAAAAAATAAAAATGTTTATTTGGGATCCTTAGCTTAATTTACAGTTTTTTGTAGGTTCGATAATAACTGCATTAGTCACAAAGAGACTGTGTCGCAGCTATTAACGCCCGCTCCATAACATGCGGTACAAAATTTAAATAACAATAACACAGAAGAAAATTAATAAAATTACTAAAAATAAAACTAATCAATGGATTTTGTACGAGTGTGTGTGTGTGTGTGTGTGTGTGTGTGTGTGTGTGTGTTTGTGCGGGTGCGTGCGTGCGTGCGTGTGCGAGCATGTGTGTGTGTGTGTGTATGTGCATGTTTAATTTTAATAATTAAACCTTGATCAATGACTCGACATCATCATATTCAAGAGTCATTAGCCAATTAATCAATTTTATTTTGCAATCTCGTAAAGAAAGTGGATAGATTGTTAATAACATATTTATTTTATTATATAACTTGTTACTCATGTACTTATATTGACGGTTCACTACATCTAGACGACATTTATCAATTTTACAAACTTTATGAGTAATTCTTTTGTCTATAAGTAATAAGGGATCATATGGAAGGGACTTATGTTTACGCAGTATGGACATCAGTACAAATAACTTTCTAATTGAAAGACGTAAATCAACAATGACCTATTGTAGTGACCTATCCCTTATTCCGGTCTGTTTCTTAAGTCACGATCACTAAAATATCTAAGTATACGGCATCATTCGTGGTGATTCTGGATAATTATCTTTTCTATTATATTCGTGAACGCAATAGCGACTGACTTATTCATCATACTCGTAACCGAGTATTAGTTTGTAGGTAACCTGGTCGAAACGTCGACATAATTCAGGTAGCTAGATAGATATAGAACATATTTGCAGCACACAAAAAAACATCAAATATTGGTGCATACTTAAAAAAAATACATATACAAAAAAAGAAAACAAAAGTACATAAAAGTGGTAACATAATTTTTCGTGAGTGTGCCACGGATAAATTATCATAGTTTACCAAAATAATCACGTTAATACCAGTTTCTTATAAAATAAACAGCGTAAGAGTCAAAAGGTTAATACGTTGTAAATTTTGTATGCTCTAGTTACAAGTGAAAAACTGTATTACTTAGAAGAACTGTATTACTTACAATTACAAGATTTTTATTGTCTCAATTTTATGATTTTGTCCTATTTGAAAGTTTGTGTTTACTCAAAATCTTAAAGTTGTCAAATGTCTTTTTTTAAGAACAATAACTTAGTTACTTACCTGCCTATTTTTTTCGGTTGAAACTACTTTCCGAATTGAGCGATAGAATCATAAAAAAATTCTTGATCACTTAAAATCAAGTTCATTTTAATAAAAATATATTTACGCACATTCATAATGTTTTAATGAGAAATATGACAACTGTTATATTGCAGTAAACAAACTAAAGTCTAAAGGATAAAATACCACGGCGTAGAAGTCGAGAGTTCAATAAATGAATAAATACTCGGTTGCGTCGAAATTTTTTCCATAATTATTGGAAGAAAGAAAGCAAAACATAATTTTATTCAAGTAAACTGGTATATGATAATTCTTATTACAATAATATTAATATATAATGTCACTCGACAATTATGTTTACGAATTAAAATATTTTTCAATTGAAATAATTTTAACATAAATCAAAATACGTAAACAAAAAGTTTCTTTGAACCGTTGTAACTTTTAGTAGGATATCGCAAAAATTATATAAACTTTTCCTTTTTAATAATAATTACAGGTAAGTAAGGAACTTTATTAAACATCAATTTTTCTAATAAGTAATCCACTATAAATAATAAAACTTTTTAAAATAAATAATAAAAACTAATATAAATATTAAAGAATATTGTAATAAAGTTCCGGTAATCACTATTATAAAATTGTTAAATTCAACATTAAACAAATATAGAAAAATATAAAAACATATGCAGGCCGTTAATTTTCTAAAGATTATTATTATTAAAAAAAAGTTCAATGTGTATTCTATAAATCCTTAAACCATTACTTATATTTATGTACTTACCTTATTAGTTAAACATTTATCCAAGTTCCTAATTACTGAACACTAATAAAAAAATAATACCAACAGTCCCGTAATCTCTTAACGTTTACTTGTAAAAAAAATATTAACTTAAAAAATCACTAGGTAGTCTATGGTCACTCGAAATTATTTAATATTCAATTTCGTGTTCAAATTCGGATTCCTCCCGCGTTCGCAAGACGTGAGTTACGTCCACAGCATACGATATCTTGTGGGAAACTGGCGGGAAATCTCATATCTCGTTAGGCAACGGGATTACAGGCTAGAGTGGGCTAGAAATTGTCCACTGGCTTGAGTTTTCAGATAAATTTAAACAGTATTCGCATTTTAAATCATAGGTTTGCACAATTGAGTCAAATAAACGATGACATTAGCAATAATTTAAAAAATATATAGCAATTTTGTTATTGATATTTTAAATTACAGGATTCTTTCGATTAAGGACGTCAATTTTCTTTTATTTACAATAAGTTAATTTAATTTTCATATACTTAGTTAAAATAAAAAGTTTAGTAATTACTAATTTTTATAAAAAAAAAATTATACGACTCCAAATAATATGAGATGGAGAGATCATCAATAGTAGATATTCTGACGATTGTTACAAAGAATTCTACCAAAAGCCATCATCATCGTATCAGCCTTTAACTGTCCATTGCTAAATTATGTTGTTTTTGCCTCCCCTTTGGAGGGTTTTGCCAGTAGTTGTCATGCTTGGCAGGCGGATTGGCAACCGTAATTAGGCATTAGAAACATTTTAAGAGGAACGCTTCTGCCTATCCTTCGTCCACCCTTAGTCGCCTCTTATGATATCCACGGGAAAGGAAGGGCTGTCCTATTCTATGCCGCGACCACACAGCCGACCACTACAACCACGCCATCACCACACCAAAAGTACTTACAGTTATATTTAGAATGGCAAACATCGTCATCATAAACAAGAACATTGCTAAATACACTGCAATGATTGTTGAAAATTGGAAATTATAGCGATTAATTATTTTAAATCTCACACGCACGATGGACAAACTGACCTGACTTCATCACTTCCAATCATTTTTCTACTACTACTACAGGATCATTCGCGACCCCTTATGAGGACGCAGGTGCGGGTCTTGACCAATATGCTCTTTACCCGAGCGTCAACTGAGAGGGTTTGCCGCCCTCGTGTTGAAGAGTTTTGGCCCAGAGGACCAAGTCGGTACTATTGTAAACAGCACCAGCTAAAAGAATAAAAAGTGAGAAAATAAACAATAAGCCGTCTCTCTAAGTGGATGCTGCTATGTAGAAGATCTCTTAGTAGAACACACGTCACTTCAAGAGAGCGTGCGTGGAGTGGAGCCAAGTCCCTCAGAGGGGATTGGTTGCCGTTCTACACCTGACTGAACATGGCACGTGCCAGCCGGCGGACAAACTCCTCCACCGTCAGGATTAATTTTTCGTTAGTACCATTATTCATTAGTTCTCAGAAATGACAACGCATGGGGAGTATCGAGAGCGAAACAGTATACTCTGTTAGGTCCATAGTACTGCTCATGTCTATAGGCAACAGTTACCATTTCCCGTCAAGTGTTCCATCAGCTTGTTTGCCATTCTAAGTTGTATATATATAGCATAGGTATCTTTATATCTAACAACATCTTTTTTATTAGAGTAAGTACGGTGCTTTACGTCGCAGTGTCTCTCCTCACACTATAGGCCAGCTCGCAGAGATCGTGAAGACATCGGCCCGGGCGGGAGTAGGGACAAAGATAGCGGTGGCAGTAGATACATACATATGGATAATCTAATAAATACTGATAAGAAATAATACATTAAAATTTTGCCAATTTATATAAAATTTTAGGAATTGTTCATCGTAAAAAGTTTTTTTTTTTTTATACAACTTAGAATGGCAAACAAGCTGACGGCCCACCTGATGGAAAGTGGTAACAGTTTCGCTGATCTGAAATTAACAAGTAGAGAAATCTTTACAAGCCCCTAGAAGACTTGCCGCCGGCGGATGTCAACGTATGTCAGCCAACTCGCACTTGACATGGTATCAGTAAGATGAGTTTGGCCTTAGTTCATTGCAATCAAGTCACGTGAGTATTTCAATTAAGGCGGGCTTTATTTACAGTCGTGTGTAACCCGCTTTATAACAAGCTTCGTGTTTATTACGCGAGTGTATACATTTCATCACGTTTCACAGATAATTAGGTAACTTGATTATAATTATTTATGTTATTAATTTTCTTGCTCTATTGTTATTGTGAATTATAAAATAATTATTGCACCTGAAGTGAGATACATATTTAAGGGAGATATACTAGCTAACTAATTTTGTACAATAGACTAAATTAGCATATATAAGTAGATGCTACAGACATTTACTGTAAGAGATGCCTCATCTACATGAGCTTTTTATATCAAACTTTGTCCGTGTCTACAACTTTGACAAAATCCCATTCGTAGTTCATACTTCAAATTTATGTCTAAACGCGTCAAGAATTAACAAAAACAGCATTACTGAAAATATTATTGAAAGGATTTAGTGCAAGAAGTGCTAATGAAATATACTATTTCTAGATGGCGTATTCGAATCAAACATACGCCAGATATTTAAGTAATACCTTTAGAAAAACAAATGTAAAACTGTATCAAATTTAATGGCGTTGTTTTTGTGTGATATCAGAACAAACATATAGATAGGCAGAATTTCTAAAAACTATTGTTTTCCCTTCTACATACCCATATACCAATTCGATACACCCATGTACAAATATCGTCTGCTTATAATTTTAGTATATTATTAAGATTTATTATTTGATGATGACAATGTCTACCCGTTATATCTAATCAAGGACACAGAGCTCATAGAAAAAACTTTCATTTATGATACCACTTGTGCAATAAGTTTCAAGTCCTTCCAACTAGGACCAGTTAATGCGACCTCTGTCTCAATCAATCGCTTATACATTGTTTTAGGGTGGCCTGGTCTTCTTCTGACACGTGTTTGTCATTCAATAATTAACTTGAATATATGACCAGTCTCCGTAACTCATTCTCTTATAACATCTCTTGGTAAATGGGATTCTGGTCCGTTACTTTTCCCTTCCGGAGTCTCGAATTAGATATGCTTTATGGCCAACAGAATCTCAATATGTGTCGTAAACTTTTATGCACAAACACCTGAAGTCTACTGGTGTCGTCTTATTCTATATACCGTATCTCACATTTGCATAGAAGAACCGATTTGACTCCGATTTTAATGTGATTAGATCGTAATGTAATTAAATACCTACTGGTGACATGTTTGGATGTTTAAGGCTTGAAGCCTTAACCATATGAATCACGCTTTATTGATTACATGCTTCCGCTACTGTCTGCTTCTACTACTCCCAACTCCTCAAATATGTTTTTTATGCAACTTAGAATGGCAAACATGCTGACGGCACATCTAATAGTAAATAGTAACTGTTGCCTATAGACATAAGCAGTACCATGGACATAACAGAGTAGACTGTTTCGCCCATGATACCCTCATGCGTTGCCGTTCCTGAGGACTCAGGTATTATTCCTCTGTACTCTGTAAATTCAGTGCTATATTCCGTCCTTCAAACTGAAACACAGACATGCAAACACAACTGCTTTACGGAAGAAACACGAATAGGACAGAGGTGCCCAAGTAAACGACTTTTGTACAAAGTTTGGTCAACCCCCCAAAATATGTGAAACAGTACACTTGTTCAAAGGTCTTGCCGTTCACACAGTACCTTTATTATTAGCTATTCATTATCTACGACGAAAGCAGGCAACCCTATCTATCTATATTTAAACATCGCATTTAACTATGATGATTTTCCTAAAAATAAACGTATCGCACATAGGTGCAATAAAAACAATGATCATATACTCCCATCTTCAAATATCCGTACCTACTATTAAAACAATAATGAAATACTAAATTACGTGTTACTTAATGCTATGCACAACAGTCGAATCTATTAAGGAGCCATAAGATTATATTTTAGTACAACCATTCAAATAGCTCGAGTTTAATTAGAGACAGAATTTAAATGATTCGCCGTGAAAGCGAGCTGTGCAAAATTACCCGAGTGAAATTCTAAAATGTTTCGAACAGGGAAAAATATGTTGGAAACGAAGTTAATTTGGCACTATTAAAAGATAAAATTGTAGTTACTTAAAATGGGCACAGAAAATAAAATTCGGGCTGATTCAGATGTTATCTGACCAAATTCATGCCAAGTATAATTGTCACGATTGCCTACAAATGTAATATTGATATTAATACCACTTTTAATATATTCAAATCCATATATTGTATAAATTCTATCGATTCTGATTAATTGGCTTACTAACAATATCGCATCTATGTATAGAATATAAGAATAAAAAAAAGAAGAAAGAATAGAAAAAAGAAGGCATCGTGAGGGAGGGCGTGCGTGCGTGCGTACTTGCGTGCGTGGGAGCGTGCATGCGTGTATGTGTGTGTGTGTGCACATATCTATAATTGAAAGTCGTAACTTCTAGTTTTGTCCTATAAATTATAATGTACTTTTTAATTTTTTCTCTGTATTCTCGTAAGAATAAGACATCAATAATTTATGAGTGTGTGTGTGCAACTGATAATCGGCTTTCTTTTATGTCAGTAAACTAATGATTTGATTGTAGATTCATATAGAGATATTTTTTTAATATAAATATACAAATCTAGTATATTACTGCAATCTATTTATCATTATGGTACTATGTTTAAGTTAGATCATTTTTCATTCCTAAAGTTATATATAATATGAATATTTATGTCGTGGTAATTAAGACGTCACTTTGTAATGCAACTATACCATATATTTTAAGTTAATACACATGTATTCTTTGTTGGCTATTCTTAAATAAACAAAGTATCTTGCGAGGTTGGCAAAGAGAACCCGAGTGTAATTAAACCCCAATAATCTTTCCGTCTTTTGTTTTATTTACTTCTATAAATCTCATGCTTGACTCTTGATTACCCCCTCACAAAAAAAAACCGCTGCATTTGTTCTTTATAATCTGTGTAGGTAGACACCGGGGGACCTCGGTATCTACTACTGTCTACTTTCGCTTTGTGATTATATCTATTTTGTCAACCTTTTATCAGATATTTTTTTTACATTATCAGAGGGAGACTTTGTACAAAAGTCGTTTGCTTGGATACCTCTATCCCA